AAAAAAAAAAAAAAAAAAAAAAAAAAAAAAAAAAAAAAAAAAAAAAAAGAACAAATAAATAACCTGAGATAAAGGAACGAGGAAAGAATAAATTAGAAGTTTATTTATTTTTAAATTTATATTTAATAAATTGTAAAATTTTTAAAAAATTAAAAATTAATTATTCATTTTGTTTTTAATAAAACTTTTAATTTTTAATTTCATTTCTCATAAATAGAATTAATTTTGGAAGTTTAAAGTTTTGAGAAAAATTTTAATTTAATAAAAAGGTGAGATAAATTACGGAATCACAGACGTAATGAGGCGATTGCACCGAAACAAATAAATAAGAGCGCGTACGACACGGCTCGCTCTTAAAGACGCGTAAAGAGGATCGGTGGACACGTGGTGGTATCTTAATGGTGGGTGATGATACTGTTTACGAACTGTCAATCTAACCGGCATTTCCCTTCCCAGAGAGAGAGAGAAAAAAAAAAAAAAATGGAGAGTGTGGTGACAGTTGTATTGTATGAAATCGGCAGCCGAACCATTACTTTCAGATTTGTTTAAAGCGCTAAATCCATTCATGGCGCGTGGGACCACGTTTTTTTTAAATTATTTATTTCGTACAAATATATCATAATTTTTTATTTTCTAAAAGACTAAGTACAATTTTTAAAAAAAATAAAAGAAAATTCAATGTAAACTATATTTGGTTTTAAACGTCAAAAATTATAAATTTAAATTATACTTTTAAAAATTTACAAATTTACTAAAGGAAGAATTTACAAACGCTTCTAAAAGTTCAAACAATAAATTTGTAATTAAAAATAATCTTATATTTAATCTATGCTGAATATCAATTTGATTTTTTTTAGTCTAATGGAATTTATAAATTTTCAAAAAATTATAAATCAAATAAATACTTATATCTGTCAACGTCAAGCACTAATTTAGTAATTTGAGAATTCTTTTAAAAAAAATTAATGGGTGGAAAATAAAAGAGGCGTGTGGTAGACGCTCTGAAGAAAAGCGTGAGAAATGAGGGCCCAAAGGAAAGGGCGTAATAACGGCTCGTTAGGCGATAAGCCGGCAGGCGGCAGGAAAAAAAAACATACAAACAAACCTGTAGCTGCAAAGCGACCAGTCTTGAAATTTCCGCGTGCCACGTTACTCCTATATACCCTTTATAATAATAATAATAAATTATTATTTATTATTATTGCAATTTTCCTCTTTACCCTTTTGATGTTTCCTCGTCCTTTTCTCGTGGTTTGGGCGGCGCCCCCTCCGCTCAGTCAAATCTCCCCTTGACCCACAATCTTTCCTCTTTTACTTTATTACCCCCCTTTTATCTTTTTACTTTAAATTTACTTTTGTTAATTTAATTTTTTTTATAGATTTTTAAAAATTTTTATTTGAAAATCTTTAAAATTTTTCTTTGAGTTTGTTTTCTTCAAAATAAATTGAAAATTCCTCTTTTATTACTGTCTCTGGATTTTAAAATTTTAGGTTTTTATTTTGAATTTATACCTAAGTTTAAAATAATAATAATAATAATAATAAACAAATAACTGATTGATCCCCGGGGCCTCCATGGGTTCGCGCTACTATAAAAGGTCGCTCCACCGCACCTAATTTTATCCTCAAATCAGTGTAATCCAAACAACTTACAGGTCCTTACATCTCTCGCCGACTTGAAGAACGAAGTACAACGGCCGCCATGGTTGCCAAGGAAAAATCCGCCGCCAAGAACCTCCCTTCTCTCTGCAACAACACCTATGCTAAAGAACTCCATTTCCGAGGCGTTCGAAAGAGGCCTTGGGGCCGATACGCCGCCGAGATCCGAGATCCCGGCAAGAAGAGCCGCGTCTGGCTCGGTACCTTCGACACGGCCGAGGAAGCGGCGCGTGCATACGACACCGCCGCCCGTCAGTTCCGCGGCGCTAAAGCCAAAACCAATTTCCCTCTGGAGGAGGAGCTTATCGACGTTTCTCCTCAGAAGATCAATCAAAGCCCTAGCCCTAGTAGTACCGTCGAGTCCTCTTCCTCTTCCAGCCAAGAAAAAACCCCCTCGCCGGAAATCGCCCGGAACTACGGCGCGACTGTCGGTGTCGGACGAACTTCTCCGTTCCTTCAGCCTCAGTTTTTGCATCAGGTCGGTTGCAATGTCTCCGCCGCCGCCTCCGCTGCCGGCGTTCGTCCTGTTTTGTTTATGGACGCTTTTGGTAGACCGGAGTTCGTGGCTCATGGCTATCCCATACGATTCGATCCGGCGACGGTGGATTTGACTGCTAGGTTCTCCGGCGGGACCCACAGTGATTCGGACTCATCGTCGGTTGTTGACTGCCGGCCGGAGAAGGAAATTCTGAATCTCGATCTCAATCTCGCTCCTCCGGTGGACGCTTGATTTCTCTACTAATTTAGTCTTTTAAAATTAATTGCTTTTTGAAGGAAGAGGGAAATTGACGTGTTGTAAAGAAAACGTACAAGGGTCCTCCTTTTTTTTTTTTTTTTTTTTTTTTTTTTTTTTTTTTTTTTTT